CAGAGAAGAAATACCAGTTTCACAGACAACTTTGGTTACTGCCTGGATCAGTTCTGATGTCCTTCAATGTCGTTTCTCTTCAAGTTGTTGTCATTGTGTAAACTATTTTCCTGGTTCTGATTACTTTATCAGTTTATGCAAGTCTTCCTAAGCTTCTTTGAATTCTTCCTGGCATTTAAGATGCAATAATAACCCATTATATTAATATACTACAGTTTGTTCACTCATTTCCCAATTGATGGGCACCTTTTCCCAATTTCTGTTACCACAAAAAGTCCTGTTCCCAGTATTTTTGTATACATATGACCTTACACCCTTTGTTACCTTCTTGTGGGAATATGCCCAGTAGAATCACTGGGCAAAATGGTATGTATAGTTTAGTGACTTTTCTAGTATAGCTCCAAATTACTTTCTAGAATAGCTAAATCTGATGACCTCTCCACTACATCATGTATCTATCACCATCTTAATTTCGAATATTTTTTCTTCTCATTTTAAACCAAAGTACTTTGTAGACTGAGAATCTATTGTAGCATGATGCCTTTAGCACTTAGCACACTACAGTACACATAATAGGCCTTTTGCCCATCTCTTCCTTCTTGAATAGACTATCTTCATATGAAATATCTTCCTTCAAGGCACAAGTCAGGTGCCACTTCTTTCATGAAGGTTTCCAATATTCCTTCCCCCTCCCTGAAGTGATCTGTCCTTTCTCAAATTTCTGAGAATTTTGCCTCAAGCTCCTTTGTGCACTTGTCTCACTTTCCCTTGCATCATGTTTATTTGCACAGAAATGATTTCCCCTTATTAGATTGCATATTCTTTAAGAGAAGGAACTGCTGACATCTTGAGGGTGGGACGCAATAACTCTGGTAACACAAATGTCTTGCATGTAGTAGACACCACGTCTTATTGGACAGAGTACGAGGCCTGGATTAAAATCCTGCCTCAGCTACTGTGTCTATGGGTACTTCACTTAACCTCAGAGCCTCAATATTTTCAAAATATTTAAAATATCTACCTTTAAAATGGAGAAAATATTCTTACTACCTACCTCCCAGAGTTCTTATAAGGAAGGCGCTTTGCAAACAAAATTCTTATCACTGGGAGTTTATATTAAAAGTCTGTTAAATGAAAAAACTCAAACAGAATGCAAGGGCTTTGAGGGAAGGGACTATTCTTTGTGTTTGGTTCTGTATCTAGTATCTTGTACATTATAGGTGCTTAATAAATGCTTCCTGAATTGAAACTGTGAGTCAGTCATTCCACTTCTTTTCCTCTAAAATAACCCAATGTCCTTTTACCACATTCTTTCACGTTCACATTTTGTCAAAATGTACCCAAGGCTACATGACCAAAGAACTCCTACTTATAAAGCTGGCATCTGACAGTTTTCAAAGTGCTTTTCTCACAACAACCCTATAAAGTCAGAAGACAAACATTACCTTTTTTTTTTTTTCACAGATAAGGAAACTGTGGCTCAGGGTCATACAACTAGGAAGTTTCAAAGCTGGGACTTGAAGTCTTCTGTCTCTAAGACCAGGACTTTTCCCACTTACCACAAAAGACAAATTATTGGTTATTAAAACTTGTTGCATCTTTGCAAGTTTGCAAGGTGAATAAGCAGAGAATTTAAACTTCAATCCTAGCCCTCAGGCAAAATTTCATAATTTAGGCCCCTCACTTCTCATTTTAAGGAACCTTAAGCACAGGATAGTTTGGTCTTAGTTAAAAGTATAACAGAAAGGACTTCAGAGTGAGAAGGATTAACTAATCCCAGTGTTAGGTGGTTAAGAATATAATCTAAGCCTGATGCTGAAATAGGTCAGCATATGGAAAAGTTCCTGTGTTTGTCTTAAAATCATTTGTTGAAAAAAAAAATGTGAAACTATTATTGTATGGAAAAAAAGACTATAGCCTGCAAGAGTACTTGAATTTATCTGAAAAAATTTTATTTTCTCCAATTACATGTAAAAACAATTTTAACATTTAAAAAAAATCTAGTACCAAATTCTCTCCTTCCCTCCCTCCTTTATTTGAGATGGCAAGCAATTTGACACAGGTTATACATGTGCAGTCATCCAAAACACATTTCCATATTTGTCATGTTCTAAAAGAAAACACAGACCAAATAAACAAACAAACCCCAAAACAAAACATGCGCGCGCGTGCACACATACACACGTAAAAAAATAGTATGCTTCAATCTGCACTCAGGCTCCATCAGTTCTTTCTCTGGAGGTAGATAGCATGTTTCATCATCAAGTCCTTCAGAACTGTCGTGGGTTGCTGAAAATAGCTAAGTCATTTACAGCTGATCATCATACAATATTGCTGTTACTGTGTACAATGTTCTCCTGATTCTGCTCACTTCACTTTGGATCAGTTCATGTAAGTCTTCCTGGGTTTTTCTGAAGCATCTGCTCTTAATTTCTTACAGCACAATAGTATTCCATCACAATTATATATTACAACTTGCTAAGCCGTTCCCCAATTGACGGGCACACTTTCAATTTCCAATTCTTTGCCACCAGAAAAAGAGCTGGCTTTAAATATTTTTGTACTTATAAGTCCTTTTGTGAGGTGGTTCCTCAGAGTTGTTTTAATGTGCATTTCTCTGAGTGATTTAGACAACTTTTTCATACAACTATATCCTTGATTTCTTTATCTGAAAATTGCTAGTTCATATCCTTTGACCATTTATCAGTTGGGGAATGAATGACTCATATTCTTATAAATTTGATTCAGTTCTCTATGTATTTGAGAAATGAGGACTTTGTGAGAGAAATCTGCTGTAATTCCCCCTCCCCACCATTTTCTTTCCATTTAACCTAAGTTGCACTGTTTTTGTTTGTGTAAAACAAAAAAAAACTTTAAAATTTAATCAAAATTTTCCATTTTACATCTCATAATGCTGTCTCTTGCTTGGCCATAAATTCTGCCCTTATTCATAAATCTGATAGGTAAACTATTTCATGCTTCTCTAGTTTGCTATGATATCACCCCTTATGTCTAAATCATGTACTCATTTTGACCTTATCTTGGTATACCATGTCAGATATTGGTTTATACCTATTTTCTGCCAAACTATTTTCCAATTTTCAGAGAAGTTTTTGTCAAATAGCGAGTTCTTGTCCCAAAAGCTGGGATCTTTGTATTTATCAAATACTAGATTACTATGGTCATTACCTACTATGCGTTGTGTATTCAATCTATTCCACTGCTCCACCACTCTATCTCTTAGCCAGTACCAGATTGAAGATTACTTTGTAATACAGTTTAAGGTCTGCAACTGCTAGACTCCCTTCCTTCACATTTTTCCCACCTTGATATTCTTTACCTTTTGTTCTTTCAGATGAATTGCTTTTTTGAGCTCTATAAAATTTTTTGGCAATTTGATTGGTATGGCACTATTAATTTAGGTATAATTGTCATTTTTATCACATTGGCTTGGCCTGCCCATGAGCAATTATTTTTCCAATTGTTCAGATCTGACTTTGTGTGAAAAGTGTTTTGTAGTTGTGTTCATATAGTTCCTGGATTTGTCTTAGCAGGTAGACCAAATGTTTTGTATCATCTACAGTTATTTTAAATGGAATTTCTCTATCTCTTGCTGCTGGACTTTGTTGGTAATATATAGAAATGCTGCTGATTTTTTTTTTTTTGGCAAGGCAATTGGAGTTACTGAGTCACTCAGCTAGTCAGTGTTATGTGTCTGAGGCGGAATTTGAACTCAGGTCCTCCTGACTCCAGGGCCCATGCTCTATCCACTGTACCACCTAGCTGCCCCAAAATGCTGATGATCTATGAGGTACAAAAACCATCACCATGGATTTTCAACATCGGCCTAGGGGCAAGACTGGGTACAGGAGGGTGGTTTCATCTTCTGAGAGTAACTGGCTCTTGAAAGGACTGGTATCAACTGGCTCTTGAAACAATTGGTGTCAACAAGGTAAAATTCAGTTGTTTCTTAGTTAAAGGAAACCATCTGGTTGCCTTGATTTTTAGAGCTTGATACATTATCTCAGATTGGTGGGTTAGAACTGTTATACTGCAACTTTGCTACAAAGTTGTTATTTCAACTAGTTTTTTAGTTGATTCTCTAGGATTCTTCAAGTATACCATCACATCACCTGCAAAGGGTAATGGTTCTGTTTCCTCACTGCCTATTCTAAGTCCTTCAATTTCTTTTTCTTCTCTTATTGCTATAGCTAGCATTTTGAGTATAATTTTGAACAGAGGTGATAATAGGCATTCTTGCTTCACCCCTGATTTTACTGGGAAGGCTTCCAGCTTATCCCCGTTATAGATAATGCTTGCTGATGATCTTTGATACTATTTACCACTTTAAGGAAAGTTCAATTTATACCTATGCTTTCTAGTGTTTTTGATGGCAATATCATATTTTGTCAAAAGTTTTTTCTGCATCTATTGATTTTTGTTGGTTTTGTTACTGATATGATACAATTATGCTGATAGTTTTTCCAATCTTGAACCAGCCCTGAATTCTTGGTATAAATCCTACCTGGTCACAGTGTATATGATCTTTGTGATATATTACAATCTCCTCGCTAGTATTTTATTTAAAACTTTTGTCTTAACATTCATTAGGGAAATTCGTCTATAGTTTTCTTTCTCTGTTGCCACTTTTCTTGATTTAGGTATCAACATCATATTTGTATTGTAAAAGTAAATTTTTCAAAAAAGTTTACATCATAATTAGAATTAGTTCTTAAATATTTGGTAGAATTTACTTGTGAATCCATCTGGTCCTGTGGATTTTTTCTTAGGGAGTTCATTGATAGCTTGCTCAATTTCTTTTTCTAAGATAGGGTTATTTAAATATTCTATTTTCTCTTCTGTTAATTTGGGCATTTTTTATTTTTGCAAATATTCATCCATTTCACTTAGATTGTCAGATTTCTTGGCATAATTGGGCAAAATAGTTCCTAATAAGTGCTTCAATTTTATCTTCATTGGTAGTGGGTTCACCCTTAACATTTTTTTTTTTTTTTTTTGAAATTGGCAAGAGTACTTGAAATGATCCGAGGCAGTGTAAGAGGCAGTTTTGGAAAGAGGAAAGCTTGGGCTCCTGTTTGGGTCAGAGCCAGGAAGGTAGGGGGAGCTGTGTGGAACTACTTGATGGCCACTTACTCGGAATAATGACCAGAACAGATTTAAAATGGAGGCCAGGAAACTTTTGCCAGAGCTGATTATAGCTATGAGAATGTAAATTTCTCTCATTAAATCATGAAAATCATTCCTATGCTACTGAATACAAGTAGGTAACAACTTTTAGGGGACTTCTGAAGTCCACCAAAGAGACAGATACAATGTAGAAGCCAGCAGATCTTTGTCAACAATAACAGAAGGGAGTTTCAGGGAAAAACGCTACTGGTCTAAGTAAGCATTAGACTTAACTTTTGGATCTATTTAACAACTTTGACGAATCTGTGGATGCCAAGTAATCACTACCTCTTAAGTCAGGCAGGCTGAATTTCCAGATTCAAATCAGTCAATTCTAAATTATCTGTGTCAAGGAGAAGACTGCGGACAGTTCAAACTTTTTGATTTTTCAATTCACTGAGGGAGGTCTGGTACAGTGGCAAAAACCCTGGATTTGGAATCCAATGACCTGGGTTTGAACTGTATTCTTTCAGTCACCAAACATTTATTATTTGCCAGACACTGTGCTAGGTGCTGAGGAAGACATTCTATTGGGGGTAGGGAGGACATGCAGGTAAACATAAAATCTATACAAAGTAACTGGGGACGTGTGTGTGTGTGTGTGTGTGTGTGTGTGTGTGTGTAGTTTTGAGGACACTAGCAAGTGAGGGGGAAATCAGAACAGATCTTGTACTACTGTGTGACATTAGGCAAATCACCCTGTTTTTCTCATATGGGAAAGGGGGAAGGCTAGAGGATCTCTCAGACCCATGTCAGCTTTATTACTTCCCACTCCCTATGTGTCTAATCCTATGCTTGATGCTGTGGGGTACGGATACATCTGAGAGGGCAAGACATACAGAAAAATTAGATAAAACAGCCTCAATAATAATAAGTCTCATATGTGATTAAATGAAAAATGAGTGTTACAGGCAATAAAACATTAGCTCAAGGGAGGGAGGGCTATGACAACTAGAGTAGGATAATTTAATCTGGGGTTCTTAACCTGAGATGCATGGAGAGATTTCAGGAGATACATAAACTTGGAAGAAGAAAAAGATTACATTTATTTCAATATAATTGGTTTCTTTTGTAATCCTATGCATTTTATTTTATGCATTAAAATATTACTCAGAGGAGTCCCTAGGCTTCATCTGACTGCTAAAGGGTTCTATAACACGCAAAAGGTTAAGAACCCCTAATCTAATAAAATTTCCTCATTTCATAGATAAGGAAATATCCTAAAAGAAGGAACTGGAAACAAAAGTTCAAACATTTCTGTCCCATTATCCAATACTCTTCTCCCCATTTTGAAGTAGTATAGAAAAAAAAATACCTCTCTCTGAACCATGAAAGATGAATTCTTTTTCTTTAAACTGACATATTTTATATTTTACCTTTTCTGGGAATGGGAGGGGGTGTCATTTTTAGGACAAACTTATAGATAGTATACCTATTTTACAAACAAGGAAACTGAGACTCAGTGAAGTGATTCTCTCTTAAATAGTGATCATATCTTGGTTTTGGCTTATGAATGCCCAAATAATTATTTCTTAGTAGTGCCTAGGAATTCTTGAACCTTGTATTAGGGTCATATTCCATGATCTTCCTACTCCAGCTACCACTTAAGCCTATAATATCTAATAAATCTAATTTCAGTTCCCAACATCACCTTAGGGTAATTTAATATTTAAGACTATCCTGGGAAAGCAAAAGGGTACTTAAATTAATATCTGGACTTCTGGTTGTTTCTAAGGTTCTGGCTGATTTTAGATTTCAGTGTTTTCAGATTTCTTAAAAAAAAAATAGACACATCATCATTCTTTACCTATGTGACCCAATGTCATCTGAACAATTATCACAGGTTTCAGTGAATTACTAATATGCATCTGAGGGCCTCAAATTGTTTGGGAAAACCAAATTGTGCTTCAAAATAATCTATAAAATCAAATTATCCTTCAAAATAATCTGAGGAGACAACCAAGTATGATGGTAGAGGGGTGTTAACCCCAGAGAGGAAGCCAGACCTGGACGACCGTTTTGCACACCTGAACTGCCACTATCATTTAGGGACTTTACGTGGCTGTCTGTTCTAAAAATTGCACGCAACCTTTCTGTGTTGATATTACTGGGTTGGTGTGCTCCACCCCACTTCCCCCAGAAGTGGTATTTCCTATAGAATCCAAGGTCACAAAAGCAACACAAGGTCTCCTCTTCTGGCCTGCACTCCCCCACCCCCATTCTCCGTGACACCACTGAGGCCCCTCCTCCACTGCTGTCAGTGAAGGCTTGTTGGCTCTGTTCCCATTTCCCTATTTGGATATGAATGTCACTTAGCCAGTTTGCCCAGATGTGTTCCCAGACCCGGGAAGGGGCACGCCTTGATGCAAGATGTAATCATTACTCACATGGAAAGGAAAAAACATCCCTATACAGGGCATAGACCCTTCTTTTCCTTCTTCATGTCAGAAGTCTGATTCCCATCATCCATCTTGGTACTGTGCTGGTCCTAGAGCAGACAGCCTATTCTTCACCAGATGACATCTGATTCAGATTCTCCCAGAATTCACCTGACCAGATGGGAGGCTTTGTTCATCCTGAATGCTAGTGATTTTCCTGCCATGCTTAAGATCTGGAACCTGGGGGACACCTTAGACCATCACTTAGTTTAATTCTTCTGCCTTTAGGAAGTTAACTGTTTTTAGGAAATCAAAGGAATTATCCACTGTGTTTAGCTCCTAAAGGAAGCTGAAATGTCATTGGTCCAGTGATACTTTATCTTTCTAATACACAGGTCTGGTCGATTTACTCCCTACTGAAAAAACTTTCAGAGGCCCTCTATTGTTCACAGCATAAAATCCAAACTCCCTAACCTTGTATCCAAGGCCCTCAAAAATCGAATTAAAACCTTCCCTTTCTGACTTTTAAATATTATTTCTCTTCATACACTATATTTTGGCCAAACTAGACCACCTTTCTCTAATCTGATCCTTCTCTCTCTCTTACCTCCTCTATTCATCAACCTCCCATGACTAGACTGGCCTACACTTTTCTCCTCATTTCTGCCTGATCAAGTCTTTTCTGTTCCTTCAACAAGCTTCCCAAAGCAATTCTTAATTTCTCCCAGAAAGTGAGCACATAGCAGGTACTTATTGCTTGTTGATCTGAATGATATTTCTGAGGAATATCTGGAAAATGCAAAAAGAAGCCCCGACTCAACCTCACTGTCTCCATCACATAAGCTCCACTGTATTAGGTTTAGTTTGGGTCACTTTTGTCTAAGATGTCACTACTCTAGCCAGGGCCTCTCACCCTCTTTTACAGTCTTGGGTTTGGGCAGGTGAGGATTCTGCTGGACCTGGATAAGTACTTCTGTTTACAGGGGTTCTGGGGCTGCCTGAGAGGCTTCAAAGAGTTTTTAAGTTCTCAATACAAATCTTACTTGCATGAAGACTCAAGGATACATGAAATCCACTGTTATCTTTCCCCAATGCTGGGGCAAAACTATTAAGAACCATGTAACTTCAGTCAGAAGGGACCTTAGAGTTAGAAAAGGTCTTAAAAGACCATCTACCTAGTCTAGCATCTAGATGGATAAACAGAGTCTCAGAGAGGGGAAGGAATCTGCCCAGAATCGGAAGCTAGAAGTGCTGGAGGGAGAATAAGGGGACAACTAGAAACTAAGAATCTATCAGCCCATGCTTCTTTTAACACATCTATATCTTTCGACCACATAATATCTTGAAGCAAAGATTGTTTCTATACGGAACCACTTCTGGCTTTCTAGTTGTTCACAATCATAGGAGCATAGGAATAAAAAGGACTTTAGAAATCATCTAAATTACCTCCTCCCATTTTGCAGATGACAAAATGAGCCCAAGGTTATACAGGAACTAGGAGAACTAGGATTCATACCCAGGTCCTCTGACTTCAAATCCAGTGCTCTTTCCACTGTTTCGGAGTTATTTTTCACAAAGGGATTATCTTTGAAAGCAAGAAAAGAAAAAAAAAAGTTCTTGCTTCACTATTTATGCATAAACTTTATATTGTCTGACTGAAAAAACCCCTCACAGTAAGCCTTCCTCCTCTGGCTCTCCCTTCCCCCAATCAACAAAAATAAAACCCTAAGTGCCAACTTAGTATACAAAATACTATGCTGGACACTGAAGGAGACACAAAGTTTGGCTAAACCATCCTCCTCAGTTTACAGACTAGAAAACTGAGGACCTCCCACTTTCTTCTAGGGAGAACTGTTTGTCCAAGGTCAGCAGCTAGTAAGTAGCATTATGAGTTAAGACACCAGCACACAAAATTCTGGTGCCATCATCCACCCTCCTAATAGGGACTTTTTTTTTTAACTTTTAGAATTGGTCCTCCACTTTCCTGAGGGGAGGGAGAAAGGGGATTTGACGTGATAAGCAAAGGGGAGGGTGAAGAGAGTGCAAGTTTTAAAGGATGGTGGGAATGGGTCTAGTAGGGGGAAGGGACACCCATGGGTGTAAGTAAAACAGCCCGGGGAAGATGAGTGTCACCGAGAATGGGGGTATGCAGACAAGCCAGGGGACAAGGCTGGGAGGCCGAGACGATGGTTTGGGGAGGGGATAGTGAGGGTGAGCTCAGGGGGTTCAGTGAGGACAGGACGCCGGGCTGAAGAGGGAGTAGGGGATATGAACCCGAGGGTCAAGTGGGGCCAAAACCCCTGAGTAGCGGTGGACGAGCTCGGCTCGGGGACATGCCCCCGGGGTCGGTGAGGAGTCTCGGGATCCTCTAGGCCTGAGACTGTGGAGAAGCCAAGCCTCCTGGCTTCCCTGGTGGCCCTCCCCAACCCCGGCAGCCAGGGCTCGGCCCAGCCGGCGCCAACCACCACCCCGCGCGAGCGCCCCGCCCCCCCCTTCCAGCACCGCCCGCCCCTCCCCCCACACCCACCCGCGCGGCTCCCAGTCCACACCGCTCTCGCCTCCTCCGGGTGCATTGTGGGTGGGGCGCCCCTGCTGAGCACTGTAGGGAACCCCCTTTGCCCCTGCCGACCGGCCGCCCTCAAGGGTCGAAGGGAGCTCAGCTTCGGAGATTGACGCTACATTCTTGACTCCGCCCCTTCGGCGACTGAACTCTCGTATCCGCACGGCGTCGACTGGGTAGGCATTCTCTTCTGCCTGACGATTGGCTCGGTTGCCCGCCCATCATGCGTCGGGCTTGCCGGCTCTCGCCCCTTGGGCCTTCATGGCTGCTGGCGCGATCGGTCGGGTCAGTCGGGCTCGCTTCTCATTGGCCGATGAGTACTGTCGATCTTGGGTAGGTTCCGCACCCTTTGGGCGTAGGTCTCGACAATTGGGCACACACCTCATTCTCATTGGTCGCTTGCCTTGCCATTCACGCAGACGTACCGAAACCCGGAAGTATGGGAGGTGAAATCTGCCTAGCAACCGGGGAAGCCGGGCTGGGAAGCGGGTAATTTCAGTCTGAGGAGAAACCCGGAGTCCCGCGGAGGTGCCAGCTTCAAACCTCCCCCCCTCCCCCCGCCCCACCTGCCTTCCGCCCCTTGCCTCTACAGCTCTGTCTCCAGTCGCGAACGTTCCCCACTAGGAACAGTTACCTTTACCGCGCTCCTTCGTCTCCCCCCCTTCCCCCCCGCCCCGTCCCTCAGCACCCCTCAGCCCTACTGTCCGGAGCGCTCGCCCCCGCCGCGGGAGGGGGGGAGTGGTGGACGACACGGGGACGGCGGCGGCGCGCAGCGCGTGGCGTCCCCGAAGCGCGCCCCCGACTTCAGCCCCACACACCCCGCACGACACACGCTCCGTCCGCCGCCGCTGCCGCCACCTGAAGGAGCCGCTGGGACCGTCCCGCCCTCCCGGGTGCCAGCCCCAGGCCGCTGCTGCCCTTCGGAGCCGCGGTGGAAGCTCCAAGACAACTTTGGCTGGTCGGTGAGTGACTTGGCTTGTCCGCCCGTGGGGGGCCCGGGCGGAATTCCCTCGTTCTGAGCCTCCTGCCCGTTCCGGCCGCCCTGAGGGGCTGCGCTCGGGCCGGGCCGGGCCAAAGGGCGGGGGGAGGGGATGTTTGGGCCGGGACGGGACTGAGGCCTTCCCCCCACAATCCCTCCCTCCCCTGCGCCCCAGGAACGTGCCCAGGCTCGCCCGCTCCCCTCCCCCCCTCTCGGCCGTGCCCCCCACGCCCTGTCCCTCGGGGCGCCGGGCCGGTCGGGCGGGGCGGGGCTGGGCGGGTCCTCGCCCCTCCCCTCTCCTCCCTGCCTAGGGGGAGGGGACCCCGGCGGGCTGTGGGGGCTGCGGGGCAGGTGCGCGGGAGGGGGGTGTTTAGAGGGCCGCCCCTTCTTAGAGGATCGAGCTGCCCCCTCCCTCTGGGCTTCGGCTCCCCCTCCCCAGAGGCGTCGGCTGCCTGCCCGCTGCCAGCCTCCTGTCCCCAGGAGTTCCAGCCTCTCAGGCCAGGGGCGCCGCGACAACTTTTGTTTTCTCAGCCGGACTCTGAGGCTATTTTCAGGATGGAGTTTTAAAGCCCTACCAGGAAGGCAGGAAAAGGGTTCTCTTTTTGGGCAGAGGAACTCTGTTCCCTTTGCAGCCACCTTGGTGTGGGGCATCTACTAGCTAAAGGACTGCGTGGCTAATCCTGTTTCAAAACCCTCAGTTGGTTGCGCTAGACCATTGTCTCTTCATTATCACATTGTTAAGCCACCGGATCGGCTGACCTCTAGAGTCCGTGTCTATTCCCCCCCACCCCCACCCCCCCTCCGCCTTTGCATATTGGAAACCCCTTCTCATTCTTTAAAAGTGACACTCCTGGTCGTGCTTTGCCAGTTCCACTCAGTCTTCCCTTCTCGGGTACAATTCACTTCGTATTCTCCCTCCTTGACAGCTCTCTCTTTGGGTAATGGGGAAGGGGAGGGAATTCCTAATGTTTACAGGCAGGACCTGAACTATTGACTCCCCTAGGCTAGAAGGTTAGAGGATACTATTGATTAGCGGTATCATTTTTTGTAAGCACTTAACTTTCAGAGCCTCCCCAAAGGGAAGTCTTTAAGTTGGTTTTACAAATTTGTGTGTACTTTTTAAAAAAGTGCCCACTATGGATTCCAAGTTAAATCCAGGTGCTAATTTTATCTAGTTTGCTAAATGCAAAGTTCTACTAAACACAAGTGGATGAATGCCGGCTGTGAGAGATGGTCCAAAGGACAGGAATAAGTCAATTTGAAACCGGAGTAACTGTTGTAACCTCTTCCTGTCCACATGCAAATGTGTCTGCTGGATCCTATGGGAAAAAAATTTTCCTTAAGAAAGATTCCAATTTATATAGATTGAACTTTGATTTGGTTGTGCTTTTAATAACTTCTGACTCTAACCTAGTGAGAGTATCAATTCACTTTACTGTTTGAAGGCCACATGCCTCCAGTTAGTTTCCATATAGGTTTTGCTTAATTTAAGTTCTTTGTGAGAGTTCTCAGCGTACTATAATTTGAGTTCTAAATCTGTCAGTAAGCTGTATGGACACAAGTTTCAACTCGAGCTATTTTCTTCTATGTAAAAGTACCCTAAGAGTTACCTAGGATCTCTTGGTCTTGATTTAGTCAAGTTCAGGCAGGATGTTGCATGCTAACTGCTTTCACCTCTACTGCCTCTTAATGGCCAATCTCAAGCTGGTACTACCTTGGAGGAAGAAGATTTTCTGGTATCAAAAAATTCAGAAGGGAGAAACATCAGGGAAAGCCATAGAACCAACAGTGGTCAGGTCGATGAACAGAAATTTCCCAAGAGGAGGGGGGAAAATAAAGGACAACAAAGGAGATCAGGGTTCAGACCTAGTTTTAGACTAGTTAAGGCTTGAAATTTTGCCAGGTCTAAATGTGCCCAAAGGGGGAAAAATTTTTTGGTATGTGTCTTGCAAAACTCACTGCCCTTCTGAATATTGAAGCAGTGTTTTTCTTTTCTGATGCCAGATACGAGGCAGATCTAATGGGTGGCCTTGCATTTGCACTTGTATGTCCTTTGTTTTTTTCTACCTATAAAATGGGGATAATGTGTTTTGTAAAGTGTAATACTGAGAAGTGTGAGGGCAGTTATTTTGATATAGCACAGCTATGGCTAGATTTGGGCAGAAGGGATAGCCGAATTGATGAGTATGAGGAATGGTAGGAGGAAAACAGATTCCACCTGACGTTAAAGTTGTATTCTTATTTTGGGACTGCTTGAGTAACTTTTTGGGAGCAGTAGTAATAGTGGTCCACTCTTACACACTTTTGAATATAGAATGAGAAGTTTTCTCATGGTAATGAGTTAGATTTTAGGACCAAGTATTGTGAGAGTAATGTACAAAAACATTTGATGCAACACAATAATAGTACTTTGAAAGGTTGAGTTCATGGCTTAGTACCCCTAGGGGAGATTAGAATTCATATTGAACTCTAGTTTGGGAAAGCTGGAGAAAGCTAACTCAGCTCCTTAGGGGACATGGGGAGGGGTGAAATAACCTCGATTTTTCACTAGAGCTCCATGTCTGATAATTAGTATAAAACAAAATCCCAGGGGAGTCCAAATCAAGGCCATCCTCAACTCTGGCTTTGGGTAGAGGGCAGAAATGGTGCTATTATTGATGACAAAGGAACGTTTCAAAAGAAGAGAATCTTGTAGATATTTCTTGTATGCACCTCCCCTGATCTCCAATATTATTTCCTTTCCTCCCCTCCCCTTTATAAAGTTTGGAGATGAAATTTGTTTGGATGTTGTAATTTTTAAAAATGACCTTAGGTGTTTAGGAAAGTAAATATGAACTTTTGGGAAATATCTATCACTCCTTTTAGAGACAAAGTTGCCTCTTTATGTAGGGATAAGAGTATTTCAATTCTTAGAACATGAAAACTATCTTTAAAGGAGTGTTGCACTTTGACATTGTCATTTGTAGTGTGTGCCTCTGACTTCATTCTGAGATGTGCCAACACAAGGTTGTATTTAACAGGAAGTTTAAAATTTTTTTGAAGCAATGAAGAGCCTTGGATTGTTGGAAATGATATTGCTCTGTATATTTAGGTACATTTATTAGATAATAATGATGCATGGATACCAAGAGGTGAGCAGCCCTAAAAAGCATATGGGACCAAACACTCTTCTCAGTACCTAATTGTGGACTGATAAAACTGTTGATTTATATTACCAAAATAGTCAGGGAAGTGGGAGAGTTCCTTCCTGTTGGATACAACACTGGTGATGTTAAAATCCCTCAGGATCTAGATAAGAAACGAGCTGATCTTTTATAGAATTGTGAAATAGCCACTGTTTATAATTTGGACAAACAGCAAAAAAATGATTAAATGTTTTCTTCAATTATGTTTCAACTTTAAATATTGGTTTTCTTCATGGCAACATGGCATAATGGTTAGAATTCTGGACTTTGAGTCAAAAACACCTATGTTCAAATCCTTTGATAGCATCTGTAGGACTTTGGGCAAGTTATTTAAACTCTTTGAATCTCAGTTCCCCATCGGTAAAATGGAAATAGTAATACCTTTAGTTACCTACTTTATAGGATTGTTGGGAAGTTATTAATGAAATGCTGTGTGTAAAATGCAGTGCAAAATTTAAAGCTTCATATACATATGGGTTAATTATTATCAAATAACACCTTTGACTTTTTTTTTACCTGCTAAATCTGGATTCACTAATACATCAGGCATTTACCTACCTACCTACTATGTGACAGACACTGCGCTGGGTGCTGAATCCTTGGCACATCAACAACCTCTGTTCTTCAAGAGCTTAAATTCTACTAGGGGAACAATAACATGTACAAAGAAAATTAAATACAAAATATGTACCAAGTAATTTCCTGAAAAGGATACTAGTGACTGGGAGAAGTCAGAATAAACTTCTTGTAGAATTTCACTTCAGTTGAGCTTTGAGGAAAGCTAAGAATTCTGTAAGTAAAGGTGAGGGGGCCATGTCCAAGGATGGGAGACAGCTTGAGCAAAGACAAGAAAGTAAAAATTAGCAGAACAATAAGCAGGCCATTTTGACTGGAACACAGAGTGTAAAAGGTGATGTATTTAGCGCCTGGAAAAGTAAGCCTGGAGTCACGTTGTGAAAGTCTTTAAAAGTCAGGCAGAAGACTTTATTTTTTATCTCAGAGGCAAAAGGGAGTCACTGGAGCTTGTTGAACAGGGGAATGACATGGTTAGATCTGTGCTTTAGAAATATCACTTAGGCAACTGTGTGGAAGATGGATGGAGAATGGATGGTTAGGAAGGACAATTAGAAGGCTAATTCAGTTGTCTAGGTAAGTGGTAATCAGGACTTGAACCAGGGTGGTGGTCATATAATTATTAACTGATCAAGCATTTATTAAACACCTGCTCTTTGTAAGGGCACACTGTCCTGAGCATTGGAGAAAGATACAACAGTTAAATAAATATCCATCTCTGCCTTTATGGAACTTATCCACAGATAACTATAGTAGTTAATGACTACATACCATATAGGTCCAAATGGGAAAGACTGCTACCGGCAAACCTTTTATATTTGTTATCTCCTATTAAAAGGTGAGATTCTTGAGATCAAGGGACTGTTTAGTTTTTAGTTGTTTTGTTTTTTTATCCCCTGGACTTAGCATAATGCTTTGCACACCGTAAGTCCTTATAAATGCTTTTTCATTCATTTATTCACAAGTATTCAGTTCAGATGCCTTTTAGTCTAAAATTCCTTCTTAAAGATAGTAATATCTTTCAAATTCTGTGGCATTTCTTCAGTGCTTCTTATGTTGAACAAAAACCTATATAGATATATAAAAATCTTTTCCACTTTCTGTTAGTAAATTTAACAGATATGACATTCAATCCAGGAACCTTGCTAGTCATCATCTTGAAGGAAGTAGCAACAAATAAGTTGTAGTTGGTTTAATGGCTTATATTGGCAAATTCTCATTAATGTGGGAAGGTATAATAAAGCTCAACTCTACAGTTGTAGAGCCATCTTTGCAGGATTCTCTACGTGAGTGAGTGTGTATATGTGTGTGTGTGTATCTATATCTACATCTTAACTTTTTGGTTGTTTGGGGAACTGTACACAAGGCTGACTAAAAGTCTTTAGTTTGAGCAATAATCAAATATGCTTTTTTAACTTGCTTTACGGGTAAGGGTAAATTGGTGAAGAAGATAAGAATGGTGGGGGCTAGGGGGAAGCTATTGTAGAGGTTACTCCTGTAACCTGCATAACTCTCCTTCTGCTCCCTTATTTTTTTTTTTTTTACTGATAATTGAGGGATGTAGAAAGAGGAAGTTTCCCATTGTACAAAACCTGTACCCTTAATTACTCTCACCTGTTGATGGCTTCTTTGTTCCTGCTCTGGTGCTGCTGAACACTGATAGAGAATGGTCACAAATTTGTGTTATCCATTCTTAATTGGTCCCTCACTAACACATGTCTGTTGTTTTACTCTTCCTTGAGATAAATTCTTTTTTAAAAATAAAACTTTTTTTTAATTAAGCATTTTTTTTCTCTGTTCCATCTTTTTTCTCTCTCCTATTGGAGAAAAGAGAAGAACAAAACCCTTGTAACATATGTATTGTCAAGCAAAACAAATTTGGCCATTGTTTAAAAATGTTTCATCTTGAGTCCATCACGTCTCTGTCAGGAGGTGTGGGGAGTAGTAAGTATGCTGTATCATCTGTCCTCTGGAATTGTGGTTGGTAATTGCATTGTTCAAAGTTCTTAAGTCTTTCAAAATTATTTGTCTTTACTTATTGTTATATAAATTGTTCTCTGGTTTAAGTTCTCACTTAATCCAAATCAGTTCATACAAATTTTTACGGGTTTCTCTGAACCCGTCCATTTGTTATTTTTATGTTATTATGTTCATGTACCATACATAATTTGTTTAGCCATTACCCAAGTGATGGGCACCCCTCAGTTTCCAGTTTTTTGCCACTACACAAATAGCTGCTATAAATATTTTGTCCCTTATTCTTCATCACACTTCCCTCAATGGCTTTTCCAAACATTTTCTCAAGTCACCTATGTTACCACTTCCCTCTCCCTTCTCCACAGAAGACCTTACCTTGTAATGCAATTAAATTAAAAAAAAAAATTTGAGGCTGTCTGTCCTGAGAGCACCCTCAATTCCAAACGTAATTACTTTCACCGTCATTCCCCCCATTCTCTTCTCCTTTGTTCCAGTCTTAAAAAATGAGGTAAGCACTTCTCATCAACATTAATCCATCTGTTTGTGCCTTTGCCTTTTATTTGTACTATTTGATTGCATCCCTTCCTTTCTCTTTCAGGAACTTGCTCCTTTGTCATCCTCCTTCTTTCCCTAATTTTCAACATCTCTGTATTTACTGGCTCCTTTCTAGTTGCCTTCAAACATGCCTAGATCTCTCCAACCTTCGACTGACCCTACCATATTGTCCTTTATTTCTCTTCTCTTTCATAGCCAGATTCCTAGAAATAGATGCTTGCACTCATATGTGTTTTCACTCAATTTTCAGTCCTTCATAATCTGGCTGTAGATATCATCACTTAACTGAAATTGTTCTATCCAAAGTTGTCATTCATCTCTTGTCAAATCTGTTGTATTCTTCCTTGACTGCTCTGCAGTGTTTGATATACTGACTACCTCTCTTTCTGGGTATTCTTTTTTTACTGGGTTTTTGTAAGACTACTACCTGTCTGGTCAATTCTTTTCAATAGCTTTTGCAGGATCTTCCATGGCTTATCCCATGTGAATGGATATACTTCAGATTTGTGTCCTGGGCTTTTTTTTCTTTTCTCTACACTTTCTCTCTGAGCTCTCATTTAGTTTCCATTAGTTCAGCTGTCACCTGTCAGCTGTTCAACAGCAGATGACTCCTTAATTTCCACATCCTACCTTTATTTCTCCTGAGCTTCAGTCCCACTTCTTTCACTACTTTCTGGACATCTTACCCTGGATGTCCCATGATCTCAAATTCACCATGTCCAAAATAGAACTCATCTTTACCTCTAAACTAACCCCTTTTTCAAACTTCCTTGTTTTTGAAGGGCATCACCATTCTTCTAGTTACTGTAGATTCTCAATCTAGGAGTCATTCTAGACTTTTCACTTTCACTCACCGTTCATTTGTAATTGGTTGCCAAATGTAGATATGATCTCTTCGGTATTTCTTTTGTCCGCTTAGACTAAGTTCAGGTCCTCATCTCTTGTCTGGACTATTGCAGAAGATTCCTAATTTTTTTCCCCACATCTGACCTCTCTTGAAAATTTATCTTTCACACAGCTTCCAAATTGATATTCTCAAAGCATAGTTTTGACCATGTCATCTCACCTGCTCAAGAATTTTCCTTATTGCCTTTAAGATAAAATGTAGGTTCCCCTCTTTGGCATTTTCACATTTTCACATCTTCACATTCAGCCTCCAGACTATCTTTTCAGACTGATTACATGTTATTCCCAGTCATATACTCTACACTCTCCCCAAACTAGCCTGCTTGTTGTTCCTTATATGTGACATTCTGTTGCCCACCTCCATGCCTTTTCCACCATGTCTTGAATACTCTTTTTTTCTTTTTTCAGCCAAAGACAAGATTTATTAGAACATCCGCCATATTGGCCTGAATCTTAAGGAATCTGAACATTACTGAACTATTGTCTAGATTCTAAGAATCTGAGCGCCTTAATGGAGACAAGATGGACCTTATACAGAAAGACTGTGGGAGGGATCTAGGAGTAGCCAAGTAATTTGGGGTGACTGGAGGAGGAGTCTAAGGAAGATCTGGATGAGAGTGAACTGGGACTTGTACTCTGGGGCCAAGGGAGAATGGAGTCTTGATAGGATTAAGAGTGGGAAATGGCCGGGAGCCATCTGGCTAGGGAGGGCTGGGTAACAAAATTGAGAAATTGGGTGTAGAAGGTAATGAAAGGCCGGTTGATAGGATTATAGCCTCAAGCTAACGCCAGAGAATTGGCTATGTGGGAAAGTCCAGGGTTTTTCCTATTTGGGGTCTAGATCCCATCCTCATCATTCCCCCCTCAAAGAAATGGGACCCAAATTCTTTTGGGGCAAGGGGTGAAGGTCTTGGCTTCTGAAACTGCTTCCTGCTGGCAAGGGGTGTAGTGCTGTCTTTGCCTCGAGGGGATCCCAAAGAGGAGGTTGACTGGAACTGAGTACAGGCTGCATCCAGGGAACGATGGTTCCCATTGGCTGGTACCCAATGTTTGCTACCAACTCTAGGTGAATGGCCTGTAGCCTGAAAGACACGAATCTGACAGAAAAGACTGCAGGGCCCAGATACAGGGAGAAGTAAAAGTGTAACAGTCCCATTAAAATCATTTACATTTGACCTGCAGGATTATCTGATCTCCTTACTTTCTCAAAAGTTTAAGTAACATTTTTGCAAGTAGAAGTTTTCCGGCCCTGAGTTCCATAGTTACACAAATGAATTTGTCAGAGACTGACTTTCACTTCAATTATCACTAAAATTTTCCTCCCCAATCCAAACTGAAGATGTTTCTGACTTAATTTCAGTTGTTTGGGGGTACTGAATGACTACACATTCAGGTCAAAACAGCAAGATCTCACACACTTGCATTGTTTTTTTACTGACCACTTGCTCTGATTATAGAAATTTGCTATAAAAGGATAAAGCAGGACTAGATTTAGGGCCCAAATATAACAGTATAAAACATCCTTCCTTAGGTCTGTTTGGATGCAGATAATTTAGTTTTTCAACCATGCAGTATCAAATCCACCTCATAACCAGACTCAGGAATAGCCAGGTGGGTAACATTCCTTTTCAAAGGAATATAATGGGGAAACTGAGCCAAGAGGATCCCATCTTAGACTGAGGGTAAAATTGTCCTCTCAGCTTTTCCTAATGCTGTCTTCCCACCAGTATCACATTCTTTCTGAGTAGTTTTTGGCATTTCTCTCAGATGGTTATTGATTATCTATGGATTATTATGATCCATTAGACAACTCAAAATCCCATGAGCTTTTACCTCAAACAGCAAGTTTTACTAATCAGTTTAGGAAAAACTTTTCCAGGATTTACATCTCAAGTTTAAATTTGTCTAGGTGTAAAAAGCCAATCGTTAGAGATCATTTCTATACACTTGCAAATTCTCAGCAAGTCAAAACCCAAGTAAGCTTTTTGGCAAGTTTACACATTAAAACAATAACCAACAATAGCCAAATTATTTTAGCAGTAACCAAATTGTGAAAAGTTGTTTGATGTAACTGATACAAAAAGTTCACCAATTTGAAACTTGAAACAAACCCATTATCAATCAGGTGACTTCAATTTTGTTAAATGCATTTCCAAATTGCTTTACACAGAGAATCAACATTTTATCATTAATAGTTAAAACTAAAACTTTAAAAGAGCATGCTTACCCAAGTTTGGAGGCTAGCTTCTTTACCTTGAGCAGGATGTGCTGAACCTGGATGATGCTTTCAGGCAAAGGTTGCCCCAGGGCCCAAGGCCATGGTCAGTGAGGCCCATGCTGTAGAGGGCGAATTCAGAGATGGGGGGGGTGGAAGAGTGGAGCTCTCTTCTCCTATGAGAGGGATTAACAGATACCCTCGACTCAAGGGAAGGGAGTAACCAGGGTTGTAAGGAGGTGTTTCAAAACTCCTTAATGATTGATCACAAAACATCTAGAATCTGCTAAGATGTTTTTAGCTCTTCCAATTTTTCCCTGTAACCTTGATGAAGAAGGATTCAGGGGCATAGAGGGAAGGGAGTAAGCAAATCTTAGGAAACCAAAAAACACCTGCAGTTTTCCCAATTCCTTATCACTGAGAGGATTGACAGAATTGGGTATACGCTTCCTGATAGGGTGTATGTCCTTGTCCTCTATACTGTGGAAGCTGTACTCAGGTCCGTGGCCTCGAACCTAACCAATGGACCTAGAGCCTGAGAGCATCAGGCTGAGGGTGAGACAACCTTGGAACTGTCTGCCCGAAAAGCACCACCAAGCTTTCCTAGGTGTTTGGAGATTGACCCCAACTGCAGGGCAAGAAAGAAGTGGGGAGAGGCTTACTTACCTTTCAGTCCTGGCTGGAGAAGAACTTGGGGTTCAGAACCTTCCCTGTATGGACCACCAAAATGTTAAGGTTTAGAGTTTTAGGGGTGCTGGGACTCCGAAATCACAACATGCGGGTCCTGCCTGAATGAATTCAACCTAAGCCTTCTTTCAGCCAAAGACAAGGTTTATTAGAACATCCACCATATTGGCCAGATTCTTAAGGAATATGAACATTACTGAGCTATTGGCTAGATTATAAGAATCTGAGCAGTGGCTAGATTCTAAGATTCTGAACATTTGGCTAGATTTGAAGAATCTGAGTGGCATACACTCTTCTTTCTACCTTTGCATCTCAACCCCTGACTTCAGGGTGCCCAGTTCCAGGATCACCTCCTTAAGAAACTTTTCCTGATTCCCCAAGTTGTTTGTGTCTCACCATCCCCTTTCACTTGTGTTGCCATCACTGAGTATATCATATCTGTGCTATATCTGTGAGCATGTTGTATTTCCTTAGTAGAATAGAAGCTCTTTCAGAGCAGAAACTGCCTTACTATTGTATTTGTATTCCTAGAACCCAGCACAATGCCTTACACATGTCAGATGTTTAATAAATGCTTGTCGATTATCAAGGGGCCACGTATACATGATGTGTCTTTGTACTTGCCAACACTACTGCTTCATTTGTTCCGTTTGACACTTGCATGGATTGCTATTTTCATTGCTGTATCAACTGGGAACAGCTCTATCTAGCATTTTTCTCATGCCCTGTGATTGACAGTTTTGGTGGCATCAATTAATAGTACTTGAAGAATTCATTGCTTTCTGATTATCAACAACTTAGGCAGTTGCATAATAACTGTACACACAAATATTGATACTAAATGCAGAGATTTCCTATGCTGAGGGGTTATATGAAGTTGTCAAAAAGATGCTTTTGAGGTCTTGATGTTCCAGGAACTTCACAGTGTTGAAAGCTGCTTTGAAAGGATATACTTAAGAAGATTATGCAATAGATAATATACTGAAGTGAACTAATCTAAGGAAGACTGCCCTAGGAGAATCCTGTAGATTGCTGATGAAAACCTTGGGCAGTCTTACTTAAAGAAACTTTGTCAATGTATATTATTGGAATCATAGAGATCTTCCAGTCTAACACTTTCATTTATAGATGAGGAAATTTGAGGCTCACAGACTTGTCCAGGTACACATCTAGGAAGCTACTAAGCCAAGACTAAAACCCTAGTCTTCTCACTGGTTGTCTGCAGCCAAATCAAAGCTAGAAGTTGTCACAAAAATTAGTAAAGTCAGATTATCTGAACATTTTCAAGTAAGATTAGCCACTATTAAGGGGGAATAGTTAAAAAAGTGAACCCTATTGATGGATAGTTTGCCATATGACAAAGTGTAGTGGCTATGTTCTAGGATTGGTTTATTCTCCAAACATTAGATCAGTGACATTTTTTAATCCATAGGCTGGCACATTAGTTGGTATTACCCAGAATTATTTATTATTAAATAATAAGGCAGGTACCCAATACCAATAATGATAATTGATATATGGTGCTTTAAAGTTTGATATATAGGGCTTTTCATACATTCTTTCATTTGAACCTCACAACAACCCTCTGAGGTAGATACTAAGGGTACTATTATTCCCATTTTACAAACAAGGATACCAAGGCTCAGAGGTTAAATGACTTGCTTATGGTCACAGAGCTGGTTGAATGCCCTAGGTGTGATTTAAGCCCATGTAGGTTTTTCTGACTCTGAGCCCAGCACTGTAGCCACTATACTATGTTGCCTCTTATAAGACCCTCAAATGGAGTTTGAAGTGATACCTGAAGTGAGCTCTGAACTTGGAAGCAGGAAGACTTGAATTTGAAATTCACTTCAGACTAGCTTACTTACTAGCTGTGTGACTTTGAATAAGTCACCTGATGTCTCTATCTCAGGTTTTGCATTTTTAAATGGGTTGGAAGGATCAAATGAAATAAAATATAATACCTTACAGGTCCTTTGCAGATCTTAAAATGCCGTAACAATATTAGCTGTTACTATTATATTTGAGCAGAGAAGACTTATGGATGAAAGGCATATAACTCAGGAATAACCATTAAAGCACCTCATATGTGCATGTGGCTTTGTGTTAGGTGATAAGGACACAGAGATGAAAAATGACACTCTGTTCTTGCTGTGTAGCCTGTGGAGGGACAAAGGTAAGTATAATCCAAAGAAGATTTTGATCAAGGCAAAGGAGAGATACAAAGTGCTCTTTAGCTGCGGGTAAAGGGAGAGAGCAAAGGGGTGTGTGTATTGGGCGGGGGGGGGGTAGAATGTCAGGAAAGATTTCAGAGAGGAGAATTGAGCCTGAGGAAAGAAAGTTTTGACCTGCAGAGCTAAGGAAGGAAATGTATAGGCATGGGGAAGCAGGAGGTGGGAGACAGTATGTCAAGTTAGGGGAACAGCAAAGAATAGTCCAATTTGATGGTAATACAGTATACATAAGAGTGGAGTGATATGAAGTAAGACTAGAAAGGTAGACTGGAGCTAGACTACCAGGTTAAAGCAGTAGAGAATCACAAAGCTTTCTGAGAAGGGGAGTGATATAGTCATACATGTATATTGGGGATATTACTTTGGCAATAATGTAAAGGATAGACTGGAGAAAGGGGATAAATTGAAGTCAGAGAAACTAATTAGCAGGCTATTATAAAAGTCTTGGTGATTAATGATGAGGGTCTGTGGGGTTTTGGCAGTGATGATAGAGGGAAGAATCAAGGATGAATCTGAGGTTTCTAGTTTGTATAATTGGAAAGATGATAGGCTTCCCAAGAGAAATAAGGAAGTTTGCTGGAGGTGCTGGTTTAGGGGAAAAATAAGTTCAGTTTTGGACATACCGAGTTTAAGGTGTCAGGAGATGGGACAGCAGGCATTTGGTGAAGTGGGACTGGAATTAAAAAGAGAAATGAGGCCTGGATAGATAGATTTTAGGAGTCACCTACACAGAGATAATAATTGAACCCATGGGTACTAATGAGGTCATGAAGGAGGGAATATTTATGGTGAAAAGGGCAATTGGGGATACTTACTCTTTGAGGGTGGGAAAACAGATTATGATTCAGCAAAGAAGATGAAAAAGAGCCAGGAGAGAGCCCTGTCACAGAAGCACAGGGCAAGTATCCAGGAGGAGGGAGGTGGTCCGCAGTGACAAAAGCTGTGGGAACAATTAGATTACTGAGAAAAGACCATTTGGATAGATTGCAAGGAGTTGAGAATTGAAGTAGAAAGGTGAAATGGAGTTAACCAGTAGGATGATTTTTTTTTCTAGTGGTTTAGCTGTGGAAAGGGAGAGGAGATATATAGGCAAGAACTTGGGGTCCAAAGGGTGAAGTGAAGGATTTTTTAAGAGTTGGAAAGACCTGGGCCTAAACTCATAGATTTAGAGCTGGAAAAGACCTTGGGGGCTGTCTAGTTAAACTCTGTTAGGGAGACCTAGGGAGGAGAAGTGACTTGCTTTCACATCTTGCAGACAGTCAGTGTCAGAACTTGGGTTTGGACCCCCATCCGTTGCTTTGGACTATGCCATGTTGCTTCTTGAGCCCACGAAGCTACCAGTAGGAGATGAAAGATTAAAGGGGGCGGGAAGGAGGAAATGACTGGGCAAGATTCCACAGGAAGTGGTTGGGAGAATAGGATCAAGGGGACAAGATAGAGGAGTTGCTTTTGGCAAGGAGATAGGCCACCACCTTCCTCAAAAACTGAAGTAAAGGAGTAGAGAATAGGGGATGATGGTAGAAATATTTTGAGCTGTGGCAGAGAAATAGCTCAAGGAAGATGGCCAAATTTCCCCAAAGAAGTAAGTAGTGAGGTTTTCCTGCTGACTGGAGTGGAAAAGAAGGTGATATAAGGGGTTTGAGATGTGAGGGTCCAGTCTCAAGATGCAATACCTCAAGTAGAGAATCTAAGCTGCATGGTATGCCCAGGGAAGAGCTGAAATGGTGCATTTGTAGTGGGCCCAGTCTGCACAGTTAAGTGACTTAATTCCATTTTGGGTTCAGCCCCACAAGATTTACGTGTAAGGAAGGTAGATGGTGGAGATAACCCAGGGTTTGGGTTTAACCAGTCATGAATGGTGATATGACAAGGGTAGCAGATAGTACATAGTTGAACTGAATAATTGCCTTTCTTTGTATATTTCCAGTCCTCATATCCTGAGCACCAGCCTAGAGTCTCCAACTGTCCATAGAATATCACCACTTGGTTGTCCCACAGTCATCCTAAACTCATTTGGCCAAAACCAAACTGTCTTTTCCCCAAACCCTTTCCTCTTCTTAATTTCCCTTTCTCTGCAGAGGGCACCACCATCTTTCCAGTCACCCTAATTCACAACTTAGGAGTTATCCTTGACTCTGCACTCTCACTCACACTTCATATCAAATTAGTTCCCAAGTGTTCCTGAATTTACCTCCACACCATCTTTTTGCAGTATCCTCTTCTTTCTGCTTAAATAGCCACCATCCTAATTCAGTCAGTCAGCAAGCATTTATTAAACATTTACCGTGTGGCAAACACTGTGCTAAGCACTGGGGCTACAAAGAAAAATAAAAAACTGCCCATGCCCTCATTACTCTTCCCTAGACTATTACAATAATCTCTTAATTGGTCTCCATTTATGCATCCTTTCCCCTTTCCAGTTCCATCCTCCACACAGCTGTCAACGTAATATTTCCTAAAGCACATCTCTGACCATGTCACTACCCTGCTTAAGCAACTTCAATGGCTTCCATTGCCTTTAGGATAAAATACACAAACTTATCTGGCATTTAAAGGCCATCACAGTCTGGTTCCTGCTTATATTTTCAGGCTGATTACAGGTTATTCCCTGAGGCATAATATATTCCAGCCAAACTGGCCTACTTGCTGTTCCTGCGTACAACATTCCATCTCCTTCCTTCATGCCTTCTGTCATACATATCTGGATAGAGTACAAAACTTGGAAGAAGGAAGAGCTGGGTACAAGTTCTTGAAACACTTATTAACTAGCACTGTGATCCTTAATTAAT